GCCAATTTTTAATTGTGCAATGGTATTAATTATTGATTGATTTTGGGCATTTCTTGTCATTTTTCTATAAATCCAAGGATTTTTCTTGTCATTAATACTATCCCTCTATTTTTAGTAGCTACACTTATACTATATAAATGATTTATTTTGGGGATATATTTATTAAAATGACTAATCTGCCCTCTTTTAAAATAATACTAGTGAGATAATAGAATCTAGAACCAATAGTTGGATCCAATCTTATAGATTATATTCAAGTCTTGGCACTATTATTAAAGAAAATTAACTTCCTTAAAAGCACTAAACTCATGTTTTTATTTATATATAAAAAAGCATAGCTTTATTGAAAACATTAAAACGAATACAATTCAAGCTGTGCTCTTGTTATATGGTCTAAACAGAAAAAGCAAAAACAGTAGAAGGTTACTATGGAACTAACAAAGAGATATTGCTCATGACATATATAAACAATCAAGTGCAGGTAGTTTTAAAGTATTAGCAATCATTATAGGGTATCAAGAAGGCTATGTAATGCATAGAAAGGTTACCTCTAAGCTAACCTATCACCTTTAGCAACCACACTTACTGTTCCACTCTTTTCATGCACAGAGTCACCATTTTTGGGCAAAATATTAATCAAAGATCCCAGCCCCTAACTAGGTTACCGACAGCTAAAGAAAGTGTTTGCCATCAAACTTAGCCTATCTAGCCTCAAATCTATGTTGTGTTCATTCTCTACCATGGGCAAAACTTGATGTAATGCATTAAGAAAGGCTATGTGTGGAAACTCCCAAAAACTCTAAAAAAAGAATGATAAAACCTCTTTGAGAAAGAAAACTCTCAAATAGATGGAGACAACCCACCTTTATTTATCCTGCCTAACTGCCAAAGGGGAGAGAGTGATGATGACTAGTAGGAAAGAAGAACCAAGAGAAAAGGGAAGGAATGAAGGGGGAGCGAGAGAGAGAGAGAGAGAGAAAAGGGAAGGAGGCTAGGGTCTTTAGTACCACTAAACTAATGTTGAGGATGCACCTTTAAAATAGTTTGAGAAATAATTACTGTTGTAATATGTGAAAATAGATAAAAAAAAATACATAAATAACTGAGAAAAAATAAAATCTGATTTTCAGTTAAATAAATAAAATCAGTTGTTCGCATGAGCCATCATAACGAATGAGTTAACAAGATGAAAATATTCATCAAAGGATGATGGTAATCTTATAATTCAAATTGCATTTTTTTGTGTAATTCAAATTGTAAAATATATTTTTAATTAATAAATGTGGTAATTCACATAAAAAATTAAAAAAAAATCTATGTACTTCTTCCCCTTTGTTGCGTATATTAAAAATATTTTTAGTTTCATTTGGTGTATTTTGTCGTGGCTGCTGGAACATCCTGAGATTCCAATCCCATTACACGTTTTGTGGTTTTTTTGGGCCATCTCTTGTTTTGTTGTATTGATGGTGCCCTAAGTCAAGTTGTCAATCACCTTG